TTAAAAAGTGACGGTCGCCACAAAGCAGCACAAACAATTGCCCTCTTTGAAGCTCAGTAACTCGACGTGTGTATTGGGACAAAACAAAAAAAGGGAGGAAAGAAAGCAAATTCGACATAATGTCACACAAACCTCCAAAAATGGGCTGGACAAAAGTATTGGCACCCTTTCACAACTGCGGATAAATAAGAATGTTACAAGCATGTGATGCTCCTGTAAACTCACCTGGGGCAAGTAACAGGTGTGGGCAATATAGAAATCACACCTGAAAGCAGATAAAAAGGAGAGACGTTCACTTAACCTTTGCATTGTGTGTCTGTCTGTGCCACACTAAGCATGGACAACAGAAAGAGGAGACGAGAACTGTCTGAGGACCTGAGAACCAAAATTGTGGCAAAATATCAACAATCTCAAGGTTACAAGTCCATCTCCAGAGAACTAGATTTGCCTTTGTCCACAGTGCGCAACATTATCAAGAAGTTTGCAACCCATGGCACTGTAGCTAATCTCCCTGGTCGTGGACGGATGAGGAAAATTGATGAAAGATTGCAACGCAGAATAGTCCGGATGGTGGATAAGCAGCCCCAAACATGTTCCAAAGACATTCAAGCTGTCCTGCAGGCTCAGGGAGCATCAGTGTCAGCGCGAACTATCCGTCGACATTTAAATGAAATGAAACGCTATGGCAGGAGACCCAGGAGGACCCCACTGCTGACACAGAGACATAAAAAAGCAAGACTACAGTTTGCCAAAATGTACTTGAGTAAGCCAAAAGCCTTCTGGGAAAACGTCTTGTGGACAGATGAGACCAAGATAGAGCTTTTCGGTAAAGCACATCATTCTACTGTTTACCGAAAACGGAATGAGGCCTACAAAGAACAAAACACAGTACCTACGGTAAAATATGGTGGAGGTTCAATGATGTTTTGGGGTTGTTTTGCTGCCTCTGGCACTGGGTGCCTTGACTGTGTGCAAGGCATCATGAAATCTGAGGATTACCAAAGGATTTTGGGTCGCACTGTAGGGCCCAGTGTCAGAAAGCTGGGTTTGCGTCCAAGATCCTGGGTCTTCCAGCAGGACAATGACCCCAAACATACGTCAAAAAGCACTCAGAAATGGATGGCAAAGAAGCGCTGGAGAGTTCTGAAGTGGCCAGCAATGAGCCCAGATCTAAATCCCATTGAACACCTGTGGAGAGATCTTAAAATTGCTGTTGGGAAAAGGTGTCCTTCCAATAAGAGAGACCTGGAGCTGTTTGCAAAGGAAGAGTGGTCCAAAATTCCGGGTGAGAGGTGTCAGAAGCTTATTGATGGTTATAGGAAGCGACTGATTTCAGTTATGTTTTCCAAAGGGTGTGCAACCAAATATTAAGTTAAGGGTGCCAATACTTTTGTCCAGCCCATTTTTGGGGTTTTGTGTGACATTATGTCATATTTGCTTTTCTGCCTCTGTTTTATATTTGTTCCAATACATACAAAGGGAATAAACATGTGTATAGCAAAACATGTGTTAATGCAATACCTTTTTTGTGTGAAACAGTATAAAAAGAACAACATGTTTGTAAAAATAATTCACGTATACACATTCCATAATACCCCATTATATCCCCCCATCCCCTTTTTCCCCCATCCATGTCCTCTTACTGACCCATATCTTCTCTCATGTTTATCTATTTATTTCCAGCATTGCTTTCCCTCAGAATCACAATTAAGACTCCTGGCTTCTAAATTTCTCCCCCAATTCCCTCCAGTTCCATATATCTTTCAGAGGATTTAAATTTCAACCAACTACACACCACGTTTTCATGAGTTTTTCCATTTTATCCTCATCCATGTGACATAGCTCCTCCATCCTATAAATATTTTCAACTCTATTCATTCGTTAATTTATTTGCCTGCTGTCCTTGATACAAGTGTTTCTTCTGAATAAAAGTTTTGTCTTTCAATGCTCACAGGGGGTGTGTCGTGTGTCTTGTGTCTGCAGCCACAGAGCTTCGTTGTGGAAGACTCAACAAATGCAGTTGTGATCTCTGAATGTTTTCAGGTTTAGTATTTCCTGTTCCTCTTAGTCTACAATGGTGCAGATGTTATGATTTTTATTCAGTGTTAATCGTAATAAGAAGTTAAATGATTATTTTCCAGGAACTGGTACAAAGGTCTCATTGTGCAATCTTCAGCAGCATGAATAGCCTGTTTGTGTAGTTCCTTTTCATGACATTCAGTTCTTGGATCACATTCATATGGTATTCAGATACAAATGAATATTGCTAAACTGTAATGTTCTTCAATACAAATGTATCAATCTTCTTTTGTAGACAAGGACTTGCTGAATGAATGCACTCAGTAGTCACATACACACATTTTACCTACTGATTAGTTCTCTATGCAGAATACCATTTCCTGAAAAAGAAAAAGCTGTCCTTAATAAGAAGCTGCATTAACCCTGCATCAGAGGGGTGACAAGGGATTGAGGGAAGGAGGGATCCTTTTCTTTATGTAAGAGTTTGATTTCCAGACAAGCTATGCAGAGGGGTGTATAGACAAGCTATGGAGTGAGCTTTGCAGGAAAACATCACTCAGCACTCCCCATAATGTACCCCAAAAACACACAGCTCACCTTCATATTCATTGTCATCAACATCATCATGTACCCCATTACACTTAGACCACTGTAAAAAAAAAACAAAAAACTGTCCATTCCATATCATACACCTTGTTACTCTCAGAACTTTACCACTTTCACCCTATTATACTCCTGCACTACAGCTTGCTTCCCAATTACACTGAGTATTTCACATCCTGCACTGTGCTGCATCTAGTGCATTGCACCCCATTGGCATGTACTAAGTTGAATTCAGCATTCTGCAGCATGCACCGTTTACATTTAGCACACAGAATTCTTCACTTATTATTATTTTTATTACAGATACTTATATAGCGCCATCAATTTGCGCAGCAGTTTACATTTTATATTGTACATTCACATCTATCCCTAACCCTCCAGGAGCTTACAATCTAAGGCCCCTAACTCACATTCATACATAATAGGGCCATAATAGACAGAAGGGAATTGGCCTACCAGCATGTCTTTGGAGTGTAGGAGGAAACCCAAGCAGGCACAGGGACAACATGCAAACTACAGACCGTATCGTGGTTGGGATTCAAACCAATGGCCTTGGTGCTGTCAGGTGGAAGTGCTAACCACCTAGCCACTGTGCTGCCCAGTATATAATGCACTTACAGTATATTCTAATCACACAACAGTATGAACACACATTCCCCTCCCCCCTAAAGCTCGCCCACATCACCCCCATACTCAAAAAAAAAACCTCCCTGAACCCCACTGACCCGAACAACCTCAGACCCATCTCACTGCTGCCATTCACTTCCAAGCTTCTTGAGCGCTTAGTTTACAATCGCCTAAGCGCCCACCTCAATGACAACAACCTCCTCGATCCCCTACAATCCGGCATCCGCCCCCAACATTCCACTGAAACCGCTCTACTCAAAAATCATTAACGACCTGCTATCCGCCAAAGCTAATGAACACTACTCTGTCCTCTTACTCCTTGACCTCTCCGCGGCCTTTGACACAGTTGACCACCCCCTCCTCCTTAACAAATTACACTCTCTTGGCATCAGAGACTCCGCTCTCTCCTGGCTCTCCTGCTATCTATCCCAACGCTCCTTCAGCGTTACCTATAACGCTGCCACCTCCCCCTCTCCCCCCCCTCTGTTGGGGTCCCCCAAGGCTCTGTCCTCGGGCCCTTCTCTTCTCCATCTAAACCTCCTCCCTCGGCAAACTGATACACTCCCATGGCTTCAACTATCACCTCTATGCTGATGACACGCAAATTTACCTCTCCACCCCTCACCTCACCCCTTCATTCTCCGCCCGTATCACCCCACCTACTGAATGACATATCGGACAGGATGTCGCTCCACTTCCTCAAACTGAACCTTTCCAAAACCAAGCTCCTAATTATACCCCCCCCCCCACCCTCTCCATCACGACCAACAACGCTACCATCAGTCCCACCACGACGCAAGCCCAAGATCCTAGGTGTCATCCTAGACCAGGGGTGGGCAAACTTTTTTGACTTGAGGGCCGCAATGGGTTCATATATTGGACCCGGGGGCCGGACCAAGAGTAGATGAATGATGTGTATGTGTGAATTAATATAAATTAAATTAAAAATTTGTAACATTAAATGTTTAGATTAATTTAAGGTAGAAAAGCATAAAAAGAGTTATTTTACAAAACATTTATGCCCCCCACTAGCTGTTGGCCGGCCCAGCCACTACCATGCCATCCATAGTAAGTATAGTAATATTCCCCCATAGTAAGCATAGTAATTAATCCCCCCATATAGTACTTCATCCCCCCCTATAGTAATTCATCCCCCCTATAGTAATTCATTCCCCATATTAATTCATCCCCCATATTAATTCATCCCTCATATAGTATTTCATCCCCCATAGTACTATTCCCCCCCAAGTAGTAAGCCAAGTCCCCCCTGTGCAAATTTACTTACCTTTTGCTCCGGGGCGTTCCTCTCGCCGTGTTCCCGTGCCGTTCCGGTCTTTCAGGGCGGACTGTGAGAGGAGCCTAGCTCCCCTCACGTTCGTCACGCTGCCCCGCCTACACACATCCTGACAGCCAATGTTTACCTGCCCTGGCTGTTTTTTTTTTTTTGTTATCACGCTCCGCGGGCCGGATTAAAAGGTCCGCCGGGCCGTAGTTTGCCCATTGCTGTCCTAGACTCTAACCTGTCCTTCCAACCCCATGCCCATCGCTGACTACCGCATGCAGGTTCCACCTCCGCAACATCTCCAAAATACGTTCGTTCCTACTAAACAACTCGTTCACTCCCTTATTATCTCACGCCTGGACTACTGCAACTCCCTTCTCACCGGCCTACCCCAAAACAAGCTATCTCCGCTCCAGTCTATCCTGAACTCAGCGGCCAGACTCATCCACCTTACCAACCAATCCACTTCTGCCACCCCCCTCTGTCATTCCCTCCACTGGCTACTGATTGCCCAACGCATCAAATTCAAACTACTAACACTGACATACAAAGCCATTCATAACGCTGCCCCAAACTACCTCACCGACCTGATACCCAAATACGACCCTTCACGTAATCTTCGCTCCTCGCAAGACCTCCTACTCTCTAGCTCCCTGGTCTCTACCTCCCACGCCCGACTGCAGGACTTCTCCAGAGCTTCCCCCATCCTCTGGAACTCCCCCAATCCATCAGTTTGTCCCCTACCCTCCTCACCTTTAGGCGCACCCTGAAAACCCATCTCTTCAGGGAAGCCTACCCCACCCTCACCTAACAGCCAATCCCCTCCACTCCTCACTCCATTCCATCCCCCACAGCCATCTCCTCCTGTATCACCATCCCCTCCCTCCTAGACTGTAAGCTCGAAAGGGCAGGGCCCTCTAACCCTCGTGTATCGTGTATTGTTTTGCTACTGTATTGTCTCATGTCTTGTCCCCCATTCTAATGTACAGTGCTGAGCAAACCCTTTGGCGCTATATAAATTCTCTATAATAATAATAATAATGAACACTGTTATAGCAGTTCACAGCATGCACCCTGTTCCGCTCAGCACTTTGCAGTATGTGCTCCATTATTATTATTATACAGTATTTATAAAGCGCCAGTGGTTCGCTCAGCGCTGTACATTACAAAGGGGGACAGAACATATGACAGAACAATACCAATACAATGCAAAACATGAGGGGATTGAGGGCCCTGCTCTTTCGAGCTTACAATCTAGGAGGGAGGGGATAGTGGTACAGGAGGAGATAGCTGTGGGGGATGGAGTGGTAGGAAGAGTGGAGGAGGTCAGCAGGTTAGCAGGGGGTGGGGTAGGCTTCCCTGAAGAGATGGGTTTTCAGGGTGCGCCTAAAGGAGAGGAGAGTAGGTGATAATCTGATGGGCTGGGGCAGGGAGTTCCAGAGGATGGGTGACACCCTGGAGAAGTCCTGGAGGCAGGCATGGGAGGAGGAGACCAGGGAACTAGAGAGGAGGTCTTGTGAGGAGCGGAGTGTGCGTGCTGGGCGGTACTTGGATATTAGGTCAGTGATGTAGTATGGGGCAGTATGGTGGACAGCTTTGTACGTCAGTGTTAGGATTTTGAATTTGATCCGTTGCGCAATCGGAAGCCAGTGGAGGGATTGGCAAAGGGGGGTGGCGGAGATGGAGCGGTTGGAAAGGTGAATGAGTCTGGCAGCCGTATTCAGGATCGACTGAAGCAGGGATAGCCAGCGGCGAGGCAGGCCAGTGAGGAGGGAGTTGCAGTAGTCGAGTCGTGATATGATGAGGGAGTGTATGAGCTGTTTAGTGGTTTCTGGGGTTAGGAACGTGCGTATTTTGGCGATGTTGCGGAGGTGGAGTCTGCACGAATTTGTTAAAGATTGGACTTGGGACTGGAAGGATAGGTTGGAGTCCAGAATGACACCAAGTACTCTGGCCTGCAGGGCGGGTTTGATGGGGGCGTTGTTGGATGTGACGGAGAAGTCAATGGGGGGGGTGTCCGGACTGGGGGGAAGACAAGAAACTCGGTTTTGGAGAGGTTCCGTTTAAGGAAGTGGAGCGACATCCAGTCTGATATGTCGCTCAGTAGGTGTGTGATTCGGGCGGAGACCGAGGGGGTGAGGTGGGGGGTTGAGAGATAGCTTTGTGTGTGTCGTCGGCATAGAGGTGGTAGTTGAAGCCGTGAGAGTGTATGAGTTGGCCAAGGGAGGAGGTGTAGATGGAGAAGAGAAGGGGCCCGAGGACAGAGCCTTGAGGGACCCCAACAGAGAGGGGGAGTGTGAGGGGAGGTGGTAGCATTATAGGTAATACTGAAAGAGCATTGTGACAGGTAGGATGAGAGCCAGGAGAGAGCAGAATCTCTGAGGCCAAGGGAGTGTAGTTTTTTGAGGAGGAGGGGGTGGTCGACGACTGTGTCGAAGGCCGCAGAGAGGTCAAGGAGTAGGAGCACTGAATAGTGGCCATTAGCTTTGGCGGTTAGCAGGTTGTTGGAGAG